CACCAGCCCGCGCGGGAGCGTCACACAAGCGGCGCCGGGCGGACGGACCGACAGCCCCCGCGCGCGCACCGCCCCCGCTCCAAGGGAAGCGGGAGGGAGGGGCCGGGTTGGGCCGGGCCGCGCCGGATGCGCGGGAAAAGCGCTTGTTGGGATCTGCCGCGACCCGCAAAGGGACGTGGCTGGGGAAACGCTCGCTCCCGGGCGCACCTCAGGGACAGCTTGAGGGCTAAGAACGGAAGTTTGTGCCGGGGTCGTGCCGCGCAGAGCCCCAGAMGGGGCGGCGCGGGTATCTCCACCGCCCTCTCTCCCCGCGGCGTTTCATAGAATGGCTCGGGTTGGAAAGGACCGCAGTGAGTCATCTTGGTTCAACCTTCACGTTCAAGCRGAGCGCATGGCACAGGATTGCATGCAGACTGGTCCTGAATTTCTCCAGTGAGACCCCACAAGCTCTGCGCAGCCTGTTCCAGTCCGCGATCACTCGCACAATGAAGGTTTTTTCCCTCGTACGTAGGTGGAATTTCCTGAGCATGAGTTTCTACCCGTTGCCTCTTAACCGGCTGTTTGGTACTACCGAGCCTGTCCTGACTCTGCCCCGGGGACGCAAATTACCCACGCTGAGCTTCCCCCACGCGACAACGGCAGAGTGGGGGAGATGTTCCCTTGGCCCTGACGAGGAGCAGCGTGAACGCGGCAGGAAAAACGACACCGCGAGGTCCGTGGTGCTCCCCCAGGATGCCACTAGCGATTGGGTTTACAGGAAGGTGCGGGTTTTTCATCACTCAGTGTTAGCATATGGAAAGCAGGTAGGGAGGAAAACCTCAATACAGCTTTTACTTCCTCAAAACATGTGGAAGACTGCATTCCTATTACTAAGTTGAAATGTGTAAAAATGTGTTTTGGTTTTTTATTCTACAAAAAGTAAAGTTGGGAAGTCTATGGTTTCACATTTTTAGTTAGCATTGACCTGCCCTGGGAACGATGCGGCAGAGAAGCACATAAAATCACAAGCACCTTCCCTATGTACAAGTCAATAAAAATGTTACCTAGAACAGAGCCATGATACACCATACACCCCTTCTACCAAAAATAAAAACATTCATCCCAGCACACACCTGAAGAGCACGTGGAAGAGGTGTGAATGTAATTCTGAAGGCATGCAGAAATGTGAACAGGCAGTAACAGCAGAGGAACAGCTTYTAGAAAAAATGTTACTGGGGAATTTTGCGCTATCCCCRCTGCTTCATACTKGCTTTTTTTGAACGTCATTAGTGTMTTCTCCCAGCTCTCCATSATTTAACTCCTCAATTTCTTTGTTCCGTTTGCATGATCAAGAGGAGATAACCATTACCAAATTCCCAGCAGGGTGGAATTACTTTCAAGATTTTTCTCCTCATRAACTTCCTTATTCTCCTGCCCCACAATTGTAAATACAAATTTATGTGCAGTGGGAGGACTAGAAGTGATAGAGGATGCCTGTCCTGGAAACATGTATGTTTGAAGTCACCAGCAAGAACCACCTTGGCTGGTGTAAACTGGTGTGCTACAGCTACTGCCCAATATTAGAATGATGGTCTGTTTCTACAATGTGCATGTCAAGATAAAAACACAAAAAATTTAGCTTGGATTTGTAACTCATTTTGTCCAAGAAACAATCAGCATGATAGCTTTCAACTTCAGGGAGAGGAARGAAGGGTAGCATTATGTATTTTCATTATGGGAAGAGCAAGATTTACAAAGGGATGTAAACTGTGCCCATTGGCAACAGACACTCATTAGTAATAACGCTGGCTTCTAAAACGGTACATGAGGGGAACTGACTAAAATCCCTCCTGTGCTGAACATGTAGAACTTGGACAAYTTTAAAACAAGCTTCCCTCTTTATGCACGCTAAGTATATTAAGGTAAGCTGTAAACGGATTTTCTCTTCCACATACGTGTCAAAGGCAGCTACACTAATTTGCTTAATAAATTCAAGTGCTGCTTTATTTACTTGTTTTACTTATTTAGAACAATTTCCATATGGTGACATGCCTTTAATGAAACTCATGACTCAGAAATACCTGTCGATGTGGTCAAACAATGTCTATTCACAAGAGTCACTCAAGTTAAATAAAYGTAATTAAAATGAGACAAAACAAAAGGCAAATAGATATATGTCTCCAGCAGAATGATAGTGATCATCACCATYTGATCAATCTTCCCTGTGAGTTATATCTGCAAGTTACTTTGAGGTAGCGCTAGAAAGAAGCTGTTGATCCAAGAGCATCCCTGCAAAAAGAAACATTCATGGCTTAAATACCATTTAACTTTCTTGAACCTATTCAAGTCTTCACCATTTTTTAGCCTGTTTCTTTCTCCCTGTTCACTGACTGCAGGATCATTAGCCCCTCAAACCATGGTACTAAAGCTTTTCAGAGAAGTGGAAAACAAAAACATTACTCTTCTTCAAGAAATTAGTGGGTTTTAGGTAAAGGCACTATCTATCACAGCTAGGTACAATAAAAGTTTATAAAACCAATACAAGATATTCTTAAAAAAAACCCCTTTATCAGAATTAAAAAACCCCACATTTCAGCTGGGTAAAACATATACAAAACACAACCAGACAAAGTGAAATAGCATGGTGTTGAAAACATTACTTCCAATACTTTAATGTTTCTACTGCAATCAGCTCTTTGTAGARCTGAGAGCAGGCATCTGTATGATGTACATGTGCACATCTTTGTGTAAGCTCACTAATGCAGATGGCTAGCTAGACCAGCACAGGAAGTTTCCTCAGTTAAAAATCTCAGCAATAAATGCCAACACTTCCGAGGCGCTCACTTTTTCCCAAATTTGTGCTTAGACCAATATAGAACAGTTTTTCCAGTATGCCTTTACAGTAAAGAGTGTGTGCTCCACACAGTATCTTAATCCCATTTATGCACTCCTAACTGGAAGCAGGGTAGCCTAGAAAAGCTCAGGAGACACAAAGTCAGAGAGTTATGTAAGTATCACACAGGCTGCAAACAGTAGGCTCCCTTCTTCACCTCACTTTTCTTGTATGTTGACTGGGAGAAAATACATTCCTCAATGTTTCTCAGCTATGCAGAACTAATRGACAAAAAATTTCTTTCACTGCATTTAATAAACAGTATTTTCACTACATGGGTATTTTACAGGCCAGAACAGAAGGTGTATGGATGTCTGAAAACAGTCCCTAATGCAGAGTGCAGTGATCTCACTAACATGTAAAATCTGCGTAAATATGATTCTACTCATAAATAAGAGTCATAAATATTAGTAATAAATATGACTACAGACTCTGACTTTGAGGTTTATGTGCTGTAGTCATACAGTGCTGATCCAGGTGAAATCACGCAGCTACACGGGCTCCTCCTTACACAGTTCACACATGGATGAACCTCCCAAATGCCAAAAAGCAGCAGATGGTAGAAACACTGTGGACTAAGCTAACATGCATCCTTAGTATCTGATAACACAGTAAAAGGTTTCCACACATTACTTGCTGCAACTTAAATATGGTGTTAGGTAATGCTGTGCAAAGCAGCATATACACTTCAAAGCAGGAAGCTTCCGGGTCTGTGCCTGGGTTATAATCCTGCAGCTTGTCATGACGGTGCTCGCTAGATACAAAATCCTGTGCCTAGCAACTGGTTTGTACTACCAAGCTCAGGCATGATAGCGGTGCACTACTACTGAAGTAACATCGAATCGAGCAGGGTTTTGAAAGTTTAACACCCCCACATCCAAATTCAAGGGGCCCACTCTACCGCATTTCCTCCCATCTGCAGTCCCCTGAAATTATTCTATAGAGGTACACAAGTAATCCCTTTCCCATCCAGATTCTCTTGGCATCATTTATTCCACTTTCTGTCACATTCCTATTAATCTCCCTACTATCACCCTCCAAAGACTGACCAGTTCACGCCGGGGAAACATTCACCCCCAAAATCCCAGTTTTCAGCCACTTTGTAACTAGTTCTCTCCAAAGCAGGGAAATGGTTGCTAAGACAGATAGTAATCTCCTGCCTAAATGARGGGGCTTTGATTTCTCTTTTTCTACATACACAGTACACAAAATCAAGGAAGAATGAAGTTCCTACAGCACACCAAAAGACCCTTCCTGGTTTAGAGCATCTGTATTTCATGGATAGGACTTAAAAAAATCCTAGCTGAAATTAAACTGTTAAAAGAGAGAGGTTCTGGTGAGTAGGTAGAAGGGACCTGCTGGGCCAAGTCATCACTCTGCAATGCAGTATTAGTTTCACATTTAAGAACAGCATGTAAGTTATGACCACCACTTTAATGTAATTAAGGCATTAAAAGGAAAAAAAAAAAAAAGCAGAACTTTTATCTTATCCTGTCATCCCAACACTTAGGGTTTAGACTGCCCCAACACAAATGGCAGTACCCAACTGCCTGAATAGCTTTAGTAGCTTTCACATCTATTAGCTATAGGATAATTTATATCTTTTTCTCTTAAAAATATTCTTCTGTTTCCAGACTGAATTTATTGCATACATTAAATAGCAAATATTTTTGCATACATAGGAGCTTTAAGATATCCCTATGACTGGAAAATACTTTACACTCTTTCAGGTAAGAACAGTTTAGAGGAAGCCACTCAGAAGTTGCTATCTCGCACCAGAACTTTCTTCATTGCCATCTCCCCTACCTCCTTTGACTTCACTGAAAACTGTCATCCTACTAAAATGTTATAAACCTCATCACTGTGAAACATCTGAGCATGAAGACTGAACAAATAACAGAGGTTTAGGATAGGGTGCAACTTAGTTGAAGAGGATATTAGGATACTTGAATTCATAATGGATTATTCTTCCTCTTTTAAACCACAGTTTTCTCCAAAGCTTTTAATGTTTGTGAACATGTATTATATTACAYCAGTTTCTTTGCTGGAAAGCATTAATTGAGATGACTAACAAGATAAAATTATCAGTAGGTATCATCCTTAGTCTTTGGAACATTTGCAGCAACAGCAGCTCAAAATTTGCCCTTCTGTATTTCAAAACTRTACAGATGAGCACTTAAAAGAATTTGTAGAAGATTGCCTAGGTATCCTGAAAGTATTTGAGTGCTAGTTCTTGGTAGTGCTGATGCCCATACCAAAGACAGGTGAAATACCCCTACTGCCTCCAGCTAAATTCCACAAGCCAGAAGAGAARGTGTTTTGCATATGTAAGTAAAATCCCTTGCTGGCCAGTTTGCAGAAACAAAATTTTATTTACACAGGCAAATCTATCTTTAGACCCCATTGAATTCTTTACATTTCTAGAATATTTACATGATTTCAAGATGCTCCAAGTGATGAACAAAACAAAAAAATACAGAAACTGCCAAAAGCATAGCAAAAAACCCCCAACCTATTATTGTGCTTTAAAACTTATGATCTAGAGTAATGTAGAAGAAATGTAATTTTAGCACCTTGGTCATAACGGTCATGCTATATAAGACACTTAAATAGCAGAGGGGATGTCAGAAGTGACCGTATCCAGAGGTTGCCAGTGACAATTCATGAGTGCATCATAGAGTTCTTCACTTGTCTCCATAAATTGTCTGTTCATTTCATCAACATCCAAGTACAGCTGTGGATCTGAAAATAAAAGCCTGGTAAGTGCAAGTGTCAGATCTTAGGAGGCTTGCACACAAAAGCCTCAAGTAAATGCCTAGTAAAGTGTACTGTAGCTAAATTTAATGATGTAATAGATATAAGTCTAGTAAGATGTTTATTCACCTAGAATTTTAATGGACCTGACAAATCCAACTTCTTTTGGAATTTGTGTATTAGAATTTTAGGACTATATCGGTATTTTCACATGAAGCAGAGATTTACAGATAATTAAAATTTCAGAATACACAAGATGTCTCTACTAATGAGTTGAACATATAGTAATCTTAGCAAAATCAATACAAAGATATAGTAAATACTCCAATAAACCATTTTGGAAGGATAATAAAGGCAAAGTTACAAGAAGCCTACTGCAAAGAGTTCTTGACAGTGTCCCATTTTACTTGACATGGTGTACACCATTAGCCTTAAAATGCTACCTCACCTTAGCTATAACCCATTCTTTATCCAATATGTCAYTAGCTTGGATTATTAAAGGGCAGAAGTATGGCTTAATTCAAGCTGCAGGGATAAAATTATCATTACCTTCAGTTAATAGGTCATCATTTATTTCAGTCATAGCTGAAGCTTCCTAAAAAAAAGAAGTTTAATTGTAGTCAGTTTCTGAAAGCATTAGAAATCCAAAATAATTTTTTTCTCCCTCCTAAACCGCTACGTCCTGCCATAACTATAAAATAAGCAGGAGTTTGTTGGAGAGAGGTTTTTTTGTGGGACATTGGTTTAGGGTTTTTTAAAGAAAATTACAGTATAGTTCTGCTTGGAAGACACTTTTGGAAGTTGTAACTCATCAACTGGTTGATCTTGATACAATCATCTCACAACAATTCTTTATTTTGCTTTAAGCAAAAGTACATCAGAAAAACAGAATGAGAAAAAAGACCACAAGACTTTGCTGTCAGAACTGCTATTTGACGTACATGAACAAATAACAGAAATGTGTAAGTATCTAATCCTGCACATACACTAAAGCACTTAAATAAAAAATGCTGAATATAACCTTCACACTTATCTCAATGCATGATATCAGTTTTAGGACTTTTGCTCTGATTTACACAATCCATACAACTTGCTACCTATTTTTTTTTTAATTAACTGTTTAGCATCTTTACCTCAAAAACAGCTGGAGCCATAACAGCATCTCCTAAAGAGCAGTCTCCAACAGCTTGCATGCTATCATAGGGAGTATAGGAGCTGTAGTTGTAGTCAGCATAAGGATCGTAATTCCACTGTGAGTAGTAGTTCTGATAATCTTGGTAATAATCATTATAGTTGTATGACTGGTACCGCTGGAATTCTGCTTTCAGTCTGAAACATGAGAAGTTATATACAGTTAAGAGTTTGAGAACAAAAAATTGTAAACCCAATGTTGAATTTAAACAATTTTACACACTTCCAAATTTACAAGGAAGCTTTTCTAAATAGTTGCATAAATTTTAAGTCATAGCACAATACCTCATATGTTTATAAAGAAGCAAATGCTCTCACCTTCACCAATGCCAAAAGTAATTAGTTCTATGGATTAACTCAAATTACATTTATCTGTATGCAGTTTGGATACTTTTGGTATCCACATAAGCAAGCTGCTGATAAAAAAAATGATTTATTAAGATCAGAAACCTTTATCAAGCACTGTTGCTTTAAAGACACTTTAAACATTTAAAGTCTTAATCAGTCCTTCCACTTGTTTCGTTAATACTAAGTCCTGTTATTTCCAGAAACAAGGGGTTAAGCCAGATTATCTGTTTTAGAGGAGCATCTGACACTGTCTGCCAATTTAACATGTCTACCTTCACCTTTTCAGGTTTTGGTCCATGAACAGTTGCCAAAGCATAGTTATCGGGTGACGTCAGCACTGCCATTATCCAAAATTAAGCCAAAGCAGCAGTAAAATAACAAAACTCATTAGTTCTTTAAGATCAAGTGATTAGGTCAGGTGATTAGTTTTCACTGCTTTCCCTCTCCTGAGCAGATTTTTCTCAGGGACAACTTTAAGTTGACTAATGGCAAGTATCACTGCACAAGAATATTCGGTACTAAAATAGATACACTACATGAAAAACATTGGGATAAATCAACTGCATATTCCAAGAAATCCCTGATGTTTAAACATTTCCTCACTGATTACATAGAAGCAGACCTCCTGTGTTGGCAGAGTCCCATTTCCCTGGGTCTCCACTTTACTGAAGAAAATTCAGATTGGGGCTTTTTGCCAACAAAACTGAAGGAGCTCAGAAACAGTTTCCAATGTAAGTGATTTAATGACAAATTACTCTGATGGCTGGATATTTGGATGCTGTGAGAGCATAGTACTCTGCCATTCAGAAACAGATACAGACTAATGATATTTCAATATCCATATTACATTTTTGCTTCAGTACTGTGAACTGAAAAATGTACGCAAACATTCTAATAAATAGGTACTTTACTGTCTTATTACTGTAGTAAACAAATCACTACACAATGTCTCAGTCTTCTGCTTCCAACTTCTCTCCAATATCCATCTCTGTAGGAAAGAAAAATCTAAAAATACCACTGACATTCTTCTGGATAGCAGAAGTGAGGAAAACTTTCTTGGGGCTTCATTTTCAAAGTAAGTTAGTCAAAACAAATCTGGACAGTGCTCTCCTGGATAAGAGCATTTCTGTTCCAAAGCAATGAGGCAACACTGGCAAAACTATACAGGGAAGAAAAGCAGGAGCTCTTCTTTTTAGCCTTCTAACAGAACACACAAGCTAACCTCATGAATATAGAAACTAAAATTCTATTTTTGTCTCTATTCTGGATCAAAGTTTATCAAATTTGGTATAAAGTCTCTAACTGAATTGTCTTAACTGAGAGAACTGAGCTGTCAGAAAAAAAAAATCTCAAACCAAATCAACTTTAAATTTCCTGCTGCCCTAATCACTTGGAAAGCAAAGAGTAGTATTCTAAACAAACCTTTCAAGCAACTGTTCATCGCCTTTGGCTTCTTCCCCTCTATATTCTGTATTTTTCCACTGAAGAGTTTCTCCCTCTGCCAGCCTACTTGAAAACCAGCAATGTGCTACCTTGTCTAAACTAAGAAAGACTTARAAGAAAAGCTTTCTAGCGTAAAAACAAACACTTGTCCCTTATACCATCTTCAGGCCCAAACATGAAATACTTACAAATGCGTTCAGCTTCACTACCATAAGCATTAAAGCTGGTCAGAACAACAGCTAAACCCAAATTATACAATCTGGCTAGACTTAAAGAGTTGGATTTCCCCAGCAATCCTCAAAGAGGTTGATGAATCCAGGTAGTCAAAACATAATACTTCTGTGATTTTGGTTTTACATCATGTGTATAGCCATTATAGCAAGGGCCACAGTCTTTACAAAGGCAGAACTACAAGAATCCGATTATTTAGCATTACTGTATCAATGCACAACTCATTTGTTACCTTTTAGAAATTCCTATGCTCAGCCGGATTCGTTTTCCCCCCAGACCTGGTGCATTCTGGCAGTCTTGCAGTGCCCTCATCTGATCACCTTGCTCACCAAATCTGACAAAGGCATACCCTCTACAATTTTCAAAAGGGAGAAAACAAATTCTAGTATTCATAACAGTTACAAAGCTAATGAATTCAATTTCTGTCTTCATGAAAACAGAAAATAGTAGCTGCTATAGCTTCTAATATCTAAGCAACCTCTCCAGCATGTGCACATGCACAGAAGATGCTTTCGCAAAATTAAAAACTTGGGCCAGAAGCAGAGCTCTTTTGATAGCATTAAGATACAACTTGCTGAAAGCCAGTGAAACAATGCATGTTAACTGCTCTCTCTGTAAGTAACCAGATTTCGTATTTCTGCACTTAGCGCAGTTAATTCACCAGTGTTAGCCCATTCCTACTGCTGTATAGCTCTAACATTCTTTTAAAATTTGCTCTCGTATTTCCTTTTTTTTTCCCCAAGTTGCTTGAATTAGTCCATTACAGCTACTATGTTCTGAAGAGCAAACTCACTCATCTGTGTTTGACTCGCTCTCTAGCCAGTGTCATGTCTACTAAGCTTTATTTACTAATATTCAAAATTCTGTCTCCCAAACCCTAAGATTTGCTAGGTCTTGTACTTCTCTTCCACATGCAAAAAGGGAATTATTTTGTCCTGCAGTTGACTAAGTGGACACAGTGCTGTAGGTAAGCACAGCAGAATAATGTCCATGCAAATGTCTTCCTTCTCCCACCATCTAACTGCTTTCATGCAGATAAGCATTTGGCTAAATTGAAGCTCATCACATTAACATAAATCACACTAACTGCTAAAACTAACCATAAAGTTTTAGAACCACTTGGATCTATGTTGTTAAAAAATYATGCCAGAGACTAATCACTCTCTTCCTGCCTCTGAAAAAAACGAAGAGCCAGTTCAAATGCAAGTTCTTACAAATTACTTATAGAAGCAAACATACTGACAGCATTAACACATTTTTCACAGGCATTACCTGGAATATCCCAGGAGATCTGTTGCTATTTTGCAGTCAATACATGAGGGGTACCTCTTTAGGAAGTAGTCATAGAGCTGGAAATCATCCACTTCTGGAGTAAGCTCCCCAACAAATATTGAATAATCTGGTCTTTAAAAACATAAGAGAACCATCATTAAATTTGAGAATAACACAGATAATTTAACACTGAAATGAGCTAACATACAAGCAAGTAGCTATTACTCATCAAATAAGGAGGCAAAATATAAAGACAGTGTTAACTACAAAACTCTGCTAGGCAGTGTACAGAACTGCAATGCCACCACTCCAAAAAGTTCTCAATTTCTCTGAGTCCATTCTACCACTTTTGCAAGAGAAAATATTTCAACGAAGATCCAAATTTATTACAGAATCCTTTTGAAAATTGGTTTTAAAAAGTAGTGTTTGTTGTCTGAAGGGCAGGGGACCCAAAAATRCCAAGAAAAAAATAAGTTACAGCCATAATTAGAACGAGCTAAGACTATTTTGACAACATTTCCCAAGTGATTATGAAAGAGACAAACTAGGAAAAAAATCATTCAGTTGGCAATACAATTCCATAAGCAATAGTGTACAGGCACCAGGTGAGCCATTTCAGGATTTTAAAAACAATTGGTGGCATTCACTAGTCATTGGCAATTTTAAACAGGTAAGGGGTCAGACCTTCTCCTTTCTAAACATCTTTACCTGGTTGCATTAGTACTGCTAGGGACAAACTCTATTCTTCCTGGTTTTATTTTGTTCTTTTTCTTCCGTTTCTTCTGTGGTGTTCGCCACCAGCTGTAGGCCTGGAGACATTCTCTTTTTTTTGCCATCAAGTCCTGCAAGGAGAAAAAAAAAATCGCCTTTATAGTATTTAGCCTCATTTACATTCCTCCCTCCCACTCCCCATCACCACAGGTGATTTCCCCATATTCACCTTGCCCTTGAAAGAAGCCTGGGGTCCCATTTCTCCCTCCGCCTCCCATGAGGGAAAGCAGCCTCTGGGGAAAACGCCTGGCAAAAATAACAGAGCCAAAGGATTGTATGAACAGCCATATTCCCCTGACTTCTCAAGCTGGCTAAAGGATTGACAGCTTCCTCTGGGAATTAGGGAAAAACCAGTTAGCCCTTTGATGCTGGCCAATCCTAAATGTTAGTTAGCTTCAGGACTGGACTGTGTTCTGCTTGAGCTCCAGGATGCAAGAAACTCTGCTGCAGCACAATCTGAGCGATGAAGAGGCAGGGAATTTGTCACTCTTGCCTAGAAGATCTCCGCTGTCCCTATCTATCTCCCCTCACCTAGGAATTCTTCTTCCATGATGCCTCTCCTCACTACTCAGCAGTGAGTCACTCTCCCAGGCCAGGAACAGTGACAAGAGGCCGATTAATGGAATGAACAGAGAAAGCAGACCAGGAACAGGCATTAGTTTGGCTGAGGGAAAACTCGAACCCAGGTGTAAGGCCAGGAAGAAAGAGGCATAAAAAGTACCTCTTAGGAAAAAAAATAAAAAAGGAAAAAAAACCCTGAACCCCAAAAACCACAGTTCAAAAAGGAAGTAAGTGGGGCAGCTACACAAAAGAGGGGAAGCAGCCGTATTAACACAGGCTGCCTCCCTCACCGTAAGGTTCTGAAGAACAAGGACTTCCAAAAAACAAGAATGATGTTCCACAGCATTTACTTACGCAGGCTTTAATGTTCTTCCTCTACAACACCTCCACATGTATCTTACATAGAGGGTGTTATACCCAAGGTCCTTCAGAAGAACTTGCATTCAAATAATCCAAACTGCAAAGCTTAATGTAACGACCCCCAACCTGCTTGAGTGACACACTTAAGTGTCCCGAGTACAGCCACCAATTACCACAATGCCAGAAGAAATCACAGGACTAAAAGAACACCCAACTCAGAGTAATCTAGCTATTTCAGCTTTACATTTATTAGGAATTCTGAGTATGGTTCTGGAATCCATTCAGGCACTGCAAGCCTGCATTTCTGACTAAACGATCTTACCTGGCTTGCCATGGTTCAAACTGTCTTCTGTCTTTCTCCAACAGGATGGCTACACAGGTTCAGCTTATGGCCCTCCTTCAGCTGAAAAAAATGTGGGGGAGAAAAAGAAGATGAAGGATTTTATCCTCAAAAGTAGTTACTTCCAAATATGTTCACCCAACCATAAGCTTTAAATTTTATTAATTCAGAACTCAAAAATTAAGTTCTGACTTGTCACTGCTAAAACAATACAGACAAAAGGGATATATGGCCCATGGGATTATGATTAGCAGTAATCTTCACTGTCTTAAACTGTAATAGACCAGTCTTCCCACTGTCCAATGCAATAAAAATTTTAGAGAGCTTGTAAGTCATCTATACCTCACCCTTAATTCTGAAATGCCACATATAACAACCTAATAATTCAAAAGATTCTAAAACAGTTAAAAATGAGGCTTTGGTATGTTTTGTACAACTCCCCAGGGTTTCTTCCCTTTTCAGCCAAATTTAAAATTAATTTATTTGTACCACAAACTATGCAGCTGAAAACAAGCAGTGGTATTTCCTATGTGCTAAAGAGTAGGAGAAATAGAAGCAGCGTAAGGGCACAGTACAAGCAAACATGATCTTTCTCTGCACCTTTTCCACATACACATTTCACTCATTATCAAAGTTAATAACAAATAACCTTTTACTGTGATAACTAAACTAGCAGACACACTTTCCTGAAAAGGTACATATCTTTATTGATTCCAATAGCCTTTCTTTAGGCTTTTCCCACTAGTCATCCAACAAATAGAAATCAGTACAAAAATCCAATATAAATCAGTTTAATTTGCAAAATATTCTGCATTTACTTTCACACAGGTGTTCCTTCACCACTACTGATTTCTTATAACTGGTGTTACTCCTTTTATGCAGATACTTAACTAGTGAAATTTTAATTCCCATTTCCATGCAAGAATTCATGTAATGTTTTACATCTTAGCTGATCAAATCCACAGTCACATAATGCAATGAACACCGAGCATCTACAATGCCTTAAAGGCTTGCCTCCAGAGCAGAGCAGTTCAGAACACTACTTCTGAAAACTGATTAGACTAACTTGACACACCATAGCCATAAACCATAACTAGTGCATCCATGCATGGTGCTACTCAGAATAATTATGGAATTCGTCCCCACAGCCATTCTGAAGCCAAAAGTCATGCACAAACAAGCCCTTAAAATAGTCATATAMTAGTAAGGTTAGCATATGCTAAACTGAGCATGTGCTTAACTGAAAGCCATTGCATTCAYTACAAATAATTAGCAGCAACAACTTATTCCTGTTAAAGGCAGTCATTAATAATGCAAATATCCACATAACAATGGTCCTTTAACAATTATTTTCATCAGAGGAAACCAACTCCTCCCTGTTCTCAATGCTTAAATACTATGAATGCACAGCTGCACAGTAACTTTTTTCAAACTTACCACTTTTCACTTGTGCAGACCTAACGGAAGATACACGCAGGACAGAGAACTCTAGTTGCGATAGGCTATCAGGAGGCAAGTGATGCGACTACCTCTTGGTCAGTTACCACCAACTTTTATGCCAAACTGGTTTTGTACACCTTCCTGTCCAATCTTGACCTTTTCACTAGAAAACAAAAACATTTTAAAAACAATTAAAATAGCATGCATTAATATAATAGATTTTTTTACATTTGCCTTAACTACAAATACACCCACAGCTATCTTTCATTTAGGCAGTGGGGCAGCTTCAATAACCAGAATTCAAACACATTCTTAATCGGATTACACACACATCACAGCAGCTCTGTAATTTATTCCACGTTTATTGCATTATTGCGTTTATCCGGGCAAAAAGGTGGGCGATGCTGATCACGGTCTGAATCGCCCGAACACCGCTCACCCAGGGAGCGGGCAACCCTCCCTCCTTCCTTCGGCACTAATTTTGCTCCCACGGGCGCTGGGTCAGGGCACAGGGATGAGGCAGCCTCCAAGAGCTCTTGGGGCCGGCGCGGTGACCCCGGCCGAGCCGAGGCCCGAGCCGTGACGCATTTCTCTAACCGAGCCACTCGGCACGMCGGGAAAAGCCCGACCGAAAGTGCGCCGCACCCGGCCGCGGCCCTCGGCAAACGGCCACACTGGCGCCGCGGCCGCGCTTCCCGCTTATTGTACTGCGCGATAAGAAATTATGTAATGAAAAAAATAAAAAATAAAAAAAAAACGACATAGTAACAATAAAAGCCGGCAGGGCCCGGGGCTAGGGAAAGGCTGGTTTTCTAGCGCCTCGGCCCAAGCGCCGCCAGGGCCTCCCCGCCCCGCGCGCCCTGAGGGAGGCGAAGCCCCGCGGCCTCGGGAGAAGGGAAAAGGCCGTAAACACTCCAGCCCATCCCACCCCGCCTCGCTCCCAAAAGATCGGYTCGCGCTCCTTTTCCCCGCTACCAGCCCCCGATCACGGCCACCGCTTCCCCCCACCCCTCCCTCGCGAACCCGGCACTAACGCCTCTCCTCCTCCCCGCCGCCATCACCGCGAGCGCCGCTTCCGCCCCGCGAGGCCCCCCCTCCCCCCACCCTGCGCGGGCTGCCCCGCGCGCAGCCTGACCCCTCGCCGCTCCTTCGGGCGTTTCCTGCTCCGCGGCGGCTCCCGCGGGATTTTCCTCACCCGGGAGGAGCAAGCGTGGCCAGACGCCACACGCGGGGCCGGCGCGGAGCGGAGCGGAGCAGGCAGCGCGGCGGACGGGCGGGCGGCGGAAGAGCCRGGGGGAAGGCCGGGGCGGCGCCGTGCGGTGGCGGATGGAGCTCGTGGCGGGGTGCTACGAGCAGGTGCTGCTGGGGTTCGCCACGCGGCCCGGCCAGGTAACGGGTATGGGGGGATACAGGGGGAAGGAACAATCACAGAACCGCTTGGGTTAGAAGGACCTCAGAGGCCATTTAGTTCCAACCCCCCTKCCATGGACAGGGATACCTTCCACGAGTCCAGCGTGTTCAGAGCCCCACGCAGCCCGGTCTCCAACACCTCCAGGGAAGCGTGAGGAGGAAATGCCCCCCCCGCCTCCCTGAGAGCACCCCCCAGCACTCACCGTGTCGCCCGTCCGCAGCCGTGGTTCCGGGCGCCGCTGGGGCTCTTAAAGCTCGTTGCGGGGGCGGGGCGGCCTCTCCCGCAGCCTGYGCCGCCAGGCTCGGCCCCCTCCTTGCTCCGAAGGGCTCTCGTTGCGAGAGCCTCTGGGCTGCGGGGAGCCACGTGGTGTCGCGGGGCTGCGGTGCGAGGCCGTTCCACCCGACGCGGAAGATGGAGAGCTGCGCGGGGGAYGGATGGGACGTGGGCTCGAGGATGGGGCAGGCCGAAGGCGTGTCTTCAGCCTGCCTTGATGGAAAACGAGAGAATCCGCGTCTCTTGCCCTCGGAGTTTATCTCTGCGCAGACACCTTTTCACAGCTAGCTTCGTCTAAGCACAGCCCTGATTACAAAGGGCGGTTTGCACGCTTAAATCCTTTGGAATATCTCCTAACAGCACATTTACTCAGTGAGATGCCATTATGCTTATAGCTAAGTATAATTCCTCCCCCTGTACTCAGCACTGGTGAGGCCACACCTCGAATGCTGTGTTCAGTTCTGGGACTCTCAATTCAGGAAAGACATTGAGATGCTGGACATGTTCAGAGAAGATCGGTGGAAYTGAGGAAGGGTCTGGAGCACAAGTGTTGTGAGGAGTGGGGAGCAGGGGATGTTTAGTCTGGAGAAAAGGAGGCTCAAGGGTGATGTTATTGCTCTYACAACTGCCTGAAAGGAAGGTGAAGCCAGGTGAGGGTCAGCTGCTTCTTCTGAGGAGAGGACAAGAGAACATGGCCTCATGCTTTGCCAGAGAAGGTTTAGGTTGGACATTAGGAGGAATTTCTCCTGAGAAAGGKTGATGGTGCCCGAAAAGGGCCTAGAAATAAAACCCCATAGACTGGTGTCTATAGAGCAGGTATTTGTTTATTACAGCGCTGGTGTAGCACTGGAGATGAAGGGGATTTCTCCTCCTAACCCACCTGCCTTTACTTCAAATTAGCACATTTTTATACAGTAAGCAGGGTGCAACATGAACATTGTCACTGCCCCCCATATGCCCACCATACACCCACCACTATACATGGGCACGGAAGTACACTATATCGCAGTTTTACAAGTGTGCATGTGTCATCCTCAATTCGGTGGTTGTGGGGGTCTCCCTCTAATGAGATACCATCCTCTTCATCATGGTGGACTTTTCACCTTTGTCTTCAGGGCATGCACAGTTGTGACGTTCATGTTTTTTTTCTAGTCCTTCAAGTCATAATTTTCAATTATTTTGCTGACTGTCCTGTGCTTCTGCCAAGTTCTCATTAGTGCTCTCTACTGTTCCTTGTTTATAGCATCTACCTGTCTACTTTCTTCAGAACTTTTTCTGATCTATGCTTCTTGGTGATTTCACATATCTATGTACTAATCCAGCTSGTTAGATTACGTGCAGCTGGTATACTATATGTTGCTAATACACTATTAAAAAACTTATAGCAATATATAAAAAGGCTATCATTGATAATATATTGAAAGTGATTACATTGTGTTTTAATAATATGTAAAAAGTTACTACATTCTTATATTGATAACGTATAAAAAAGGCTATAGAAAGTTTTCGATTAATAGGCCTCATAAGCACCTTATCACTTTGATATAGACCATATATGTCAGTGATTAGACATTGGAATGGGCTGCCCAGGGAGGTAGTAGAGTCACTGTCCCTGGAGGCGTTTAAGGAAAGACTGGATCTGGCACTCAGAGCCATGGTCTACTTGACAAGGTGATAGGTTGGTGATAGGTGACAGGTCATAGGTTGGACTTCATGATCTCAGAGGTCTTTTCCAATCTAATTGATTCTATAATTCTGATTTTTACATGTATACTTTTTCAAATTTTGCTTTTAAAAAAACACAGGACAGTGAAGTGGAAGCTTATTATGGTAAGCTTGAGAAAGACATGTTTGTTTTGCTTTTAATTTACAGTCCTGGACAGTCGTCCCTGATTTTACACATCATGCCCACTCTGCCTCATTGTCAGCAGTAGCAGTGAATAACAGATATGTGGTCACTGGGAGCAGGGATGAGACAATCCAAATATATGACATGAAAAAGAAGATAGAACACGGGGCACTGCTACAGCACAATGGTAAGGGAGCATCTCTTTGTAAAAAGCATTAATGATAAAAAATTGCAGCTGAAAAACTGGCCCTTGCTAGAAAAAAGAAAACAGTTGTTTYTTTTTAAAAAGACTGTAATAGTGGTGGTGTTGCAGCCATGATGATGTGATGATACAAACAAGGTAAGCTTTTGAGTATAAAAGTAAAAAAAAAATATTTTGGTATGAGCCCACAAACATAGCTGCTGTTTTCAATTATTTAACTGGTTAGGAAGTTATGACCCACAAATGGCTTATGTGCCATTTTTCTTCTATCAGGACAGTTTATCTAAACCATGCGTACTCCCAGCTATTGTCTTTCCCAGTGTCCTTGTCCTGTCGCAAGTGTACATGAGCCACGCAAAAGAGAGAGTTTGCCTGAGAGCAGGCTGCTGCTGCCAGAGGAGTTAACCTGGTACATTTCCCACTGCGTGTACTTCCTGAATTACAACTGCAAAGTACCTCACAGAGTCACAGAATAGTTTGGGTTGGAAGGAACATTTTAAAGGTCAGCTAATCCAACCCCACTGCAGTGAACAGGGACATCTTCAACCAGATCAGGTTAGACAGTCTCATCCCATTGGGCCTTGAATGTTTCCAGGGAGGGAGTATCAACCACCTCTCTGGACAATTTGTTTTGKTGGATCACTGCTGTCCTTGTAAAAACACTTCTTTCATACATCTAATCTAAATTGACTTCTTTAATGAAAAACCATTACCCATTGTCCTATTGCAACAGGCCCTGCTAGAAAGTTTGTCCCTATCTTTCTTATAAGCCCACTTAAAGCCCACAAAAAGGTCTCCCTGCAGCTTTCTCCCAGCTGAAGAATCCCAATTCTTTTCAGCCTTTCCTTGCAGGTGTTCCATCTCTCTGGTCATCTTTATCATGGTTCTTCTCTAGACTTGCTTCAACRGGTCCACATGATTCTTATGTTGGGGAATTATTGGACCTGGATGCCCCACTCCACCCACTCCAGGTGGGATCTCAGAAGAGCGAAGGGGCCGAATCCTGCTGCCCATGCTACCTTTGATGCAGCCCAGGACACGTTTGGCTTTCTGGGCTGGAAGCACACATTGCTAGGTGATGTCCAGCCTCTCATCCCTCATCAAGACTAAGTCCCCCSTCTCGGCAGAGCTGTCCAACCCCCAGCCTGTGCTTTGTGGAACTTTGMGGTTCCCATGGCCCACTACTTGAACTTGTCCAAATCCCTCTGGATGGYATCCCATCCCTCACCACTCACAGAGTTTGGTGTTATCTGCAGACTTGCTGAGGGTGCGCCCTTTGTCTATATCATTTGTACAGTCATCAGGTAACAGCTGTCCAAATAAATCTGTTTGGGTCATTTGTAGCTCAGTCCTGATTAATCAAAAAGATCCAGGGGCTAGCCTGAGCATGGTACCGGCATTTAAGTCACATATGACAAACACGGTGATTTTGGGGAAGCAGCATGTGCAGTAAATTCAGCTGTGTGTTAGGAGCAGGGCTTTGATGTGGGAGGATTTCTATCACTGATAGAAGCTCTCTCTTGTCTGTGCCATGGTGTTTGAGTACTGCTGTGTCAGAAAATAAAYCAGGTGGAGTTCAGACATGTTTGGATAAAGGATCGATAGAGCACATGAGGGATTGAATATAGCAAAGAAGTTTGAGGGGTTTTGTTAAGAAATACTCTTAATTTTTTTTTTAAGAAATAATTTGGATTTTCCCAAGGGTAGGGGTAGCAGGTGGCATGTCTTGATGGGAGAAGCTTTTCTGTTAAGTTGTGTATTCCCTGCTAATTTGTGGGATAACTGTTTGGTCTGTATGACATTGTTAATTGTATTTCTAGGCACGATAACTTGTTTGGAGTTCTATGGTACTGCACATCTATTGAGTGGGGCAGAAGATGGACTCATTTGTATCTGGAACACAAAGAGATGGGAATGTCTGAAATCCATTAAGGCGCATAAGTGAGTTTCTTAAATCTTCATATTCACGTATGTTTTCATGTCTATCTTCCTTGTTAATAATAGATGTGACTAATGTTTTGTTTTTATTAGGGGACATGTGACATCTCTCTCTATTCATCCTTCTGGGAAGTTAGCTCTGTCAGTTGGAACAGATAAAACATTAAGGTGAGTCAAAACTGATGAAGAAATGTGTCGCAGAAGGGAAGACTCGGACCACTCAATATGAGTTATAAGCGAACTTCCATTTATTGCAAACAATGTCTAAGTTTTATAGCACACATAATTAGCTCATACATATTCTGTAATACATATATTTCATGGGTCCACATCCTAAACGTCAACTCCACCTTTAATGATTCACTTGCCAATTTCCCTTATCTACTTCTACTTTTTCCCAGGGCTAACCAACACAAGTATCTTGTGGGGAGTTTCCAGCAGCTTAAAAACATGATGTCCTTGCATTGCTTTCTTATTGCTTCAGAAGAATTGTTCACACAATCTCAGCAACTATCCTAGCTGAGTGCAATACCTGTGCCCCTCCATCTCACCAAGCTGCAACATGTCTACGCGACCCCTCTCAGCTAGCCAGCCTTCCACAGAAATGCTGAGAATCATAATTAAGTAACTCTTAATAAGGTGTTATAGGAAAGAATTCTGTGTTGGCATTYGGCCATGCAATACTGATAAAACATATTTGTTATCAAATGTTTCAAAGATCCACTAGTTTGTCTTTTGACGTTCTAAGTGCCAGCAATATTTTAAAGTCTCTTAAGAATAGTTCCTACTGTTCATATCTTCTTCTTGTGAATACTGACTCTTCACAAGTCAGAAATAYAGATGTGTGAATATGTTTGCATTTTGGAACATAATATGCTTAAACTTCTGAAAAGTGCCAGGTTTTGTTTATTGTGATTWTTCACTTCCATGTTGCTGTTTTAAAGATATAAAATGCTATTTTAATAGCACAAATTGCTATTGGTCTCCTTTTGGGCTCTGTATTGCAAATGGTGGTTTAGAAAATAAATAAGACAAGTTCAACATCWTACTATGCAAACAATATATGAACTCACTATTTTCTTTTGCATTAAGGATGCAAAAAAATGCACAGAGAGGKTTAAAAGCTTCCTTTGGGTGCCTCATGTCAGCAGATCAGACTTCAGTTTCACTGCTGTTTTTAACCATTACCTGTTGTTGTGTTTCAGAACTTGGAATCTTGTTGACGGGAAATCAGCCTTCATCAAAAACCTGAAGCAAAGTGAGTTGATCAATCTAAATCCACTAATTAAGTGGAATTTGATAGTTTTATTTTWTGTGTATAGAAAGTTGACTTTTAATCAAGTCAGTTAATTGCRAACTTTTACAATGGCTTTTTTACGCATGCAGACAAGCATATGTAAGCCTGTGTCCTTGATAATAATCATAGTACCACTAAAGTAAATCCTTTTTTCCCTTGAAATTTGAGGTCAGGAGATTTAAGTAAATGTAGTTTAGTTTGTTTTTCTTTACACTTACACACAGTTTTTTTTTTTCTTTACAGACTGACCTTTACACGGTTCTGTTAATCAGAAATAAAYATTTAAGAGCATAGGTGTTTTTTCTAGTTTATTTGATTTTTCACTGAATATTGTCTTGGACTGAGGCAGAAAACAGTATCTAGAGCTTCTAAAGATTCTTACTTTTAAATTTCTCTGTATCAWTGTGTACAGATGCACACATAATTAAATGGTCCCCTGATGGAGAGAGGTATGTGACCGTGATAACAAACAAAGTGGATGTCTACAGACTGGACACAGCTTCAATCACTGGCACCATTACAACAGAGAAGAGGATTTCTTCACTTAGATTTATTACAGTAAGTACAAAAATGAGAAGTGTTGGGAAGTTAACTGGATTGAAACATATGAAATTAATCATACTTGCATTTCTTTTTTTTTCGATTCCAAGGATTCTATCCTTGCCATAGCTGGAGGTGATGAAATGATYAGGTTCTACAGCTGTGACTCTCAAAAATGCCTGTGTGAATTTAAAGCTCATGAAAACAGGTATTCTATAYTTGTTTACTGTTTAAATATTTAAAAAGTGCTGAGTCCTTTCTAACATTTAATGATTTATAATATTTAGCAGTTTTTGTTTTTGTTTTAGTATAGAAAGTGAATTTATTTATGTGCTAAATTCCAAACAGATTTCTTTGCTTTTAGTGTGAGCACAAGCACTGTGCTATCCATGCATGTTACAAAAACAGGGTACAAAATTAAGAATATTACTTCTAAATCTGTGAGTGAYTGTGTGTGTTTAACCAGTCTTTACTGAATCTGACTCTTTAGAATGTTTCAAAAAAAACAGTTTTATTCGGTTCAAACAAAAGTGTAATCACATATTCTCTGTTTTTGAAAACCAAATATTTGTCCAAGTGTTGCTTTGAATTTATCAAAACACAAAAGCATTAGCAGTAATGTCATTGATGTGTTTAATAGTGTATGCTCTATTAAGTAGTATTAAAGTATTAAATTATTCTGAATAATTAAAAGCATTCTGAATTGAATCCCAGTAAGCCTAGCAAAAGTAAATGTTCCTAATATAAATGACAGCACTCAAAGCAGATTACTGTTCCAAGTTCCTKCCTRTCACTTGGGGGTTTTCTGTTCAAACTGACTTTTTTAGACTGTTGCCTCATCTTTAATTTCTCTCAACTTACTGTTCTGAAGTGAACTGCCATGCTATAAAATAAAAATGTATTACTTTTCACAGAATAAAAGATATTCATAGTTTTGAAAGAGAAGGACAGCATGTTATTGTTACTGCATCTAGTGATGGTTACATTAAAATGTGGAATCTGGATCTTGATAAGGTTGGTATATTAAACTGCTTCTTACATTGAAGAAAAGTATCAGAGAAACAAAATCGCAGACAGTTCTATTGTAAGAGTTAATTTTAAATCACTGAGGAAATTTTACTTGAAATCTGGYTGTCTTGATCTTTCATTTTTGTTCAGTAGAGATGTGTATGTCTATGCATATGTATTTATGCATTTGTGTATTTTTTCCTTTGTGCCTTTTTTTTAAACAAACTATAAAACCTGATTATATTATGAGATCTTATYTCCACTTTACATAAAGTCATGCTTCCCATCAGACTGACCTAGCCAGGCTTATGACTAATCAGTTATGTTATGACTATCTAATTAGTTAAGTACTGCTGTGAATTTTTGTACTGTTGATGACTGTTGCTATACTTCTAAAAATACAAAGTCTRTGGTTTGGGTGGGGGAAGGCGATTGTTCATGTCGGGGGAGGAACTTATCCTTCRGAAAAATTCAAATACATGAATGTACTGGGTACTTGTATTTTGCGTGTTTTCAAGCAGTTCCAAGTAGCACARTTGAACAAGGAATCATGTCTTATGYTTAAAGTTCCTTGTGTTTATTGTTTGCTTTTAAAATCAGAAATAGATTTTTTTAAATTTATTGCCTAGTTAAAAAGGATCTACTATATTTTATGATAAGTATCTTGGATAGTTCAAATAATTATTTCTYAACATATATACACTTCATATCTGAATTTGCCTATTTTTAGTTTCACCCACTGATTATACTTGTAAGGGCAGGACTGATTTCTCTCTTTCCCTGTCACCTTACATTTCTGTTCCCCTTGTACTGAATTGACACCATGTTCAGGGAACTCTTTACCTTTCTCTGTAACATTGTATTTATTTTAAAAATAAATATGTGATTTCTTTTCCCCGTAGGCAGAGTTTTCTATACTTGTGTGGGCTGCTCTGTCCAGCTCTGAGAGGTAGAATATCCTAATACAGTAGTTCCCAATGAGTTGATGCTGTTAACACTGCACGTGTTTGTGACACTTTATCCCCTGATATCTGTAATAGAATATTTGTATTAAATGAGCTTTGTGATATAATTGCCTAACAATGAAGTGGAAGGTGGGCAGTAAGATGCATTCTCACTTCAAATACTTCAGTAAATTTAAACAGAAATAAAAGTAGGTTTAAATAATCTTCTTTTATATTTTCTTCAGATTAAAGATAGGCCGTCTTTACTATGTGAAGTCAATACCAAAGCTAGGCTGACATGTCTTGCAGTATGGCTTGACCAAGCTTCAGAAATGAAAGAAAACTCTGATAAAACTGCAACAGCATCTGAAGGTAACAGAACCATTTGTATTTTGAACTGTTAATATGACTGTGAAATGGAATACACCACRTGGGAGGTTTCTACTATATCCATGAGAAAACCTTCTGGTATTTTGAAGAAGTGGGGATATGATGCTGGCAAGTGATGCAGATACACTTACCGATCTGACAGTGTCATGTGTTTGTTGGAGAACATAAGCCTCTTTTCACTTCTATTGAAGTTTTCTTTCTGTTTACTGGGACAACACAATGAGGAAGCCACTGCAAAGCTTTTGAGACAGATGAGAAAATAAAGAGCTGACAGAACTGCATGTCTTGTTTTCCTACAAACAAAATTAGGTCTGAGGCCATTGTAGCTAGGCAAACTTAMTAAGTCTAGCTCAGATTTGTTTGCTTTTTCTACTTTTGTTTTGCTGTATTGTAATCTGTTTATATATTTGATCTTTATACATTTAAACTTTATCGGCAAAACTAGGATGAATGACACTTTCCACTGTTTATAACTCTTTCTTTTAAATGAGATACAAATAAGTCTTTGTGCCATTTAGATTACAAAGACTGGACATAAAAATCAGTGTGAATAATTCCTTGCTTCTTTTCAGAAACAGAAGATGACAAACCATCAATAGCCAGGGAAGACAAAGCTTTTGGGCCTAACAAGTGTGTTAAAACAGCAAAAAGAAAGAGAAAAAATATTTCCGAGAAACAAAAGCTGGATGCTCCATTGCAAAAGAAGAAAAAGAAATAGAATAGCTTGGCATGAAGGCACCTACTGCTCTCCTGTATAAAACGTAAATGTTAGTGTTGCCCTAATTTTTATAATGTAAACTCTAACAGGACATACACCTCTGATCTGATGTGTTGTTTAAAAGTAATTGATGTTCTTATCCTAATAAATTGACTGATCATTTTGGKAACTTTCCCTGAGTGAACAAAGCAAAAAAGAATTTGTAATATGTAATATTTATATTTTTGTATTAAAAATACCGTATGCTTTTTAATTGGCTCTGGAAAAGGCCAACTAAAATAATAAAAACAGCTGCATCTATCTCACTTATATGTGAACGTTTTCATTTTAATGTTGAAAATGTTACTGTTCATTTGACTCCAAATATGATCTGCCTTTGTTCTGCATTACTTTTCCTACTGTAGGAAGAATCGTGTTAAAATTAATTAAAATATGATGATCATGTTCCTTTTACACACCTACAGAAAACTGTACTTTCTAGTTCTTCWCATAGACTTACATCTGGACTTTAAAAGCACAATGTTTGGCTTTTTTACTGTGTTCACACATAATACGAACTTCARTTTTTTTGGATCTTTGTACCCATGGTTCAATGATTAAAACCTTTTGTTCAGAATGTGATATATAATTTTAGGTGGAAGAGTTTATATCCATAAGCTTTTACCTTTTCTTCCCCCTTTCCACTGTATTTTTTCAAGTTCTTGATCTGAGCCATATTCTTAAAAAAGAATTATATAACATTTGAAATGTTTGCCATGCTGATAAAATGTCACCTGTTTTGATTGCACTTAAACAAGAAGTGAATTCATGACCTTCTCCATCAGTAGGAACAGGAATTTATCCTAAGCCTTATTACAAACATCCAGTAGGAAAAACAAAGTTGAGCTGGAGAGAAAAAGGTCAAAGAGTTGTACTAAATGTTCCCTGTCTTTATTTTAAGGTTTAAAGCATGTTAATGTTGTTTTCTGCACTGCTGGAGTAGTCATTACTATTTCTGTTTTCAAAGAGTAATTGTAATTATGCTTCATTCTGATTCACTTCATCTYTTCCTCCTTATTTGTGTAGCAAGAGAAAAAGTAGAGAAAAAAGATTGAGCCAAATTTGGAGACAGGCTGATTTAGGGATGTAAATTAGGATGTAACTCCAGTTCAGCTCTATACTCTGACACTGAAACAAAGGGAGCATCATCAGTGCTGTTACCAAATTGTTCATGTGGCAGTGGCAGTATTCTCTTGGGTGTCCATATTTACCTTCTGCAACTGWTTTCTTTATTTAGATGAATGATCAGATCCCCTTATCTGGATATTCAACATAGTTGATTTATGCAAGCTCAGTTTAATTCAACATTAAAGGGATTTAATTTGAGCTTACGCAGACAGCTTTTAATTGTAAGGATTTGCTAAATGTTTGTGTTCACAAACACAGGCAAATAATGTAAAGTTMAAATGGYTYGTTGATTGACAGAAAGRTACCAAAACATTTTTAATTTATGAGGCTTCTACAGTAAATAAAGGACTTAAAAAGCATAAGCTTAAATAAGGGAATTGTGTACAGTGTTTTCACTTGTAGTGTGTTATGTCTATTTAATAGTGCTTATCTTATGTCCTTGACAAAATGGCTGCCACTACTAAACGAGATTCTATTGTTTGAATTTTTAAATRTATGAGCTCATGGCCACACTCATAACAATTCCAGAAGCAGGATTGCAGAAGCACCGGAAAGGAAATCCAGTCTGCACATAATTTTAAGAATTAAAAAGCAAAAATTCYGCAGAGTTTGGCTTCTAAAGTTTGGACTTAGAAGTAATAATTAGACATTCATAAAAATCCAAAAGTCCCTGTGTAGTRACAGAGAATTATGCATCTTGTGAGGCTCAGAACAATTTGTGAACTGTAGACAGAGAAGAACAGTCCTTAGGGAAGAACCCACATTTTTTTATACCTTGAGTGAATACTCTGCTGCTAATGAGTACTTGGCAAATTGTTTTTGTTTCCTTGTGTACATCTTCCTTTTCAGCATGTTTTCCTTTCTTGTTTTTGAGGAACTGCTTAGAATGGTGAGGGGAGGCAGCAGTGCAGAGCGAGGAGATGTCAGCAGTGAGAAAGCTGTCCCTGCCAGAAGGCGTGGGCATGCATGACACTGGGCGARTAGATGGAGCCATAGCTGCAAGAAACAACAGCTGAGCCCCAGGTGAGTTTAATAGCTCCAACAGCTTAAGGATTTCTACCAGTTTTCCTGCTTCTCCTTTTTTGGGAACCCCTATGCCGGATTACAAACAAAAGCCCAGTGAAGCTTGAACCTCATAGCTRTTACACAGCTCGAATTGAAAAGGAGACCCCATCCACTACAGCTTAGCTATGTATTGGTTGTAGCACTTTGCACGGTGAGAAGAGATTCCTATTTAAACTACTTAGGTCAACAAAGGAATTAAACTGCCCCCAACTTTTTATGTTAATTCAAAAGGATGGGAAAATTTGACATGCAGCTTTGGAAAGCTGCATTTTGCAGAAAGTACAGGCCTCTCATGCCTTCTATTCTAGGTTTTATGCCTGCTATTATGAAGTGAAGCCACTCAGCTTAGGGATCTGGCTACAGCAGTAGTTTTTTTCTTTCTGTATTTATAGCAGTTTATCTTTCTGTATTAACATTCTGGTTAAATGTCCATGGCAGATAAGTGCATGGAGAACTGAAATAAAATCATGGAGGACMATTTACATGAAGAAAGTCAGTTTCAGCACTCAGAAAAAAGCTTATCTTTGTAGGCAAAGATGTATAAGCACCTCTACATTTTTCCTGATTTAAAAAAAAATGCAAAACATTGTCTTTGCAAGATGTTTTCCATCTCCCACTGTTGCATAACTTCTRTAGCAGAAGACTCCTTTTTCTGCYTCACTAGCTTGTAAACTGGAGGTCCTGGAAATCCTCTACRTCTTCCATACAAGAACTATTCTGAAATTACTGATCAAAACTAGAAGCAGCCCGTAGGCTCTCCAGAGWTGCAGCTCATGTTAAAGTAAAACCCAACTCCAAATTCTCAGCTGTATCAGCTGTACCATGAAACCCTATTTCTGGATCAGGACCGGGAGAGATTGGGTGCACACGACTGCAGTTCTGGGGGAGCTCTGCCCCTCGACATGAGCCAAAAAGCTGGTCTGTAGTGAATAATTTTGTAGGCTTGCTCGGGCATCCTGGACATCTGCCTCCCGCCCTGCCGGGWGATTCCCGGGAACTCTGCCCGTAGCTGGGAAAGACACCAGCTCCTCCTCCTCCKCMGCAGCCTCGGGCTGCGACGCACGCCCTGCCTCTCGGATGGCACTTTGTTTGGGTATTGTGCTGTGGTATTTTTCGCCATCTCTCAGAACAGCCGGAAAAGGAAAGTTTTGGGCGGTGCGYGACTCCCTCACCTCCCCTTCCGCCGCCCGCTCCGCCCCGGTTGCTGCGGAACGGGAACGCCGCGCAGGTGAGGGTCGGCAGTGCCGCTCTTCYCCCGGGGCTGCCTTCCAACAGAGCCGCTTTCGTCTCCTGGGATCGCTACAGGGCTTAGGCTTTAGGCGGGCCTTGCTCGTGGAAAACCCCGCCACGTCAAAACGCTTTGCTTTTCTTTTGGTCTTCCCCGCCACCCCCCTTCCTGAAGAAGGTTAAAAGATGCTGATCTTCACCCCAATTTTCTCTTCCAGTTTTCGGCATGGCAGTGGACTGGCTCGGCTTTGGTTACGCCGCCCTGGTGGCATCGGGAGGGATTATTGGCTATGCAAAAGCAGGTAGGGTGCCGAAAGGTGCTTCTGTGTCCCTCCCCCCCAATAACTTGGTGTGAGCTGGGCAGCTTTTTACGGACGCCTGCTGTCTGGAAGTTGACCCAGATATAAGTTTTATCAGTTTGTGCCATGTGCTGATAACTTGCTGCTGTTGGGGCGTGGTGGATTTTCAGTTGAGCTGGTGCTTTGGGGCTGATAAACCCATAATCTGCTTTCTGGTGGATGCTGATATCTGCACTGTGCTCTTTGGGTGAATCGTCATAAGTTTGCTTCAGAAGGGCTTTTTCCCTGCTGTTTAAAATACAAGCTTTCTGTAAGTGTTCCTCTATATCTTAAGGTGACATAAATCACATTTTTTTTCCCTTAGAGGTTTATTTCCATTTAAACCTTTGATGATGATAGTATACTGCAAGGTGCAGAGAGTTTTCAGAATTATCCTTTGTCCAAGGAGAGCTGAACAGTGGAAATCAGTCCTTAAACTTGTTCCTCTTCAGGGCTCTGCGTCCTAAGCTTATCCTCTGACTTACCACTTTCACTTCCTCGCCTTTTCCTGAGCTAGCCCTCCTCCACGCAGAGCAATGGATTAATTCGTGCTGCAACACTGTCAGCTTTGAAAATCCCTAAACAATCTTACTTTTTGTGATAGGAAGGGGCATTGCTGAAATAAGTAAGAATCTTGCCAGTACATTTGGCTATATAGATGCTAGTGCCTATTCCAGTCTGTTCTCTGTTGGCTTCATCTATGCTTTGGGTTKTGAGTGGAGTTTAGGACAGAAGGGGCAATACTGAGAACTTAGGTTACTAATTGCACCTGTATTTCTCCGAGGCCATTATGAAATGTTAGATGTCTTTCTTGTCCTGGTCACAGATGGGAGGACATGGTCATGCTCAAGCAGGAGAATCCAGGTCACAGGATTTTTGAAGGGGGAACAGAAGCTCGTATGGTGACTGGTAGAGAGAGAAAAAAAAAAACATACAAAGGAGCTATTGTATACTTACTRAATAACTTGGAGAAACCAAAATAAAATGGAATTTTGATGCATAGAGCTTTCAGCTGTTCTCTTGCAACCAGGTCTACTTACCCACACAGACAGGGGGCAGCACTAGATGCCTTTGGAGGAATATGAGAACAGGGCAATCAAAAAGTGATTGATTGATTGATTGATTGATTGATTGATTGATTGATTGATTGATTGATTGATTTTTTTGTCTTCATTTAGTAAGTTCTCCGGGTTCTTGTGTTTTTAGATGTAGGAACTTGAGCTGGAGGTCATGTGGTTGTCCTAGTGTGTGTGTGTGTGTGTCATAGCTGCTTAGACAATGCCTTGAGRTAAAATTCAAGGATATGAAGGATGTTTCTTGGCTCCCAGGCTTGTGTAGAGCTTTGTAGTTGCCACATGTTGGTTGCTAAACCGTATTCTGTGCAAAGTAGCTACTTACTAGAGTGTGCATCTTTTCCTTGCTCATGTACACGTGCATCAGGTGCTTTCTACCCTCTTTGTCTCTTGCTTTTTATTTCAAAAGCAGGATCAAAAGCAATATTATGGCAACCTTGTTGATGACTGAAAAATTATTACCTTCTGGAAGCAATATGCAATCCTCCTGTAACATTGAGAGGACATCTTTATCACCTTAGCACTTCAACCTCAAGACTTTGAAACATGATCTCAGAAATGGAACATGTTRAGAACCACCCTCAGTAGCATTAAGTTCTTAATGCTCCATTAGCCTTATGGAGGGCATTCACCACTCATACTGATTATGCCACTTCATTGCTTGATGTATTCTATAAACCATCAATTTAGATGTGGTATCCTTTATTTTCTGGTAGTTTGGGATTATCATTTATTCCGAGGATTTAATTCAAAGTTTTGGTGTGTCCAGGGARCCTTCTTCCAAAGTCTGCAGTTACCTTTGGACCAAATCTCAGGTGTACTTAGAGATATGATCTCTGTTGTTCAACTCCGCCCTGCTCCTTGGCAACTCTTTGCATGCCATTCTGCCCAATTCCACCCACAAGTCCTTTTTTCTGGTCTTAAATCCTTACAATTTAATACAACTACTTTACTGCCTCTCAAGAAATTTTCATAATACTGTTTTGAAACCAGGTGCTTCAGTTTGTGCAAGGAAAACACCGTCTCCTGTGTTTTTCTCACTGTTCTTTCAATCATAAATGTATTAATGGCTTTGCTGTTAGAGAACTAAATACTAATGTTGTGTGAATATTATGCAGGAGTAATTGAACTGTTTACTGGTGCTGATCACCATGGTCTCAATAACAATGAATGATGAATGCCCATTTTTTTTKGTTTTTTTCATTATTGTTGGTGTTTTACAAACCAGGTAAGCTGATGACCAAGTTAATTTTTAAATTTCTAATAAATGCATTATCTTGTACTTATTCAGGTAGTGTTCCATCACTAGCTGCTGGTGTTTTCTTTGGGAGTTTGGCTGGACTAGGTGCTTATCAGGTCTCACAGAATCCACATAATGTTTGGGTTTCTCTGAGTAAGTAATTTAAAATTTTACTTAGAAAAGATTATATTTACCTTGTATATTTAAAATGAGTACCTAAAAGTCTTTGCAGAAGAATTAAACACGGATAGTGTTATCAATCTAATTTCAGTCCTGTCTATACTTTACTGAACTGGTGGCTGTCAACATGGGTCTGTCTCGTACTGATGTGTTTGAAGGATCATAATTCAAGGGAAGTGCTAGTAAATGGATTTCTGTCTTCTGTGTGCTATCTTTTTGGGTAGATCCTACTCTGCTGAGCATCCTGCAGGAGGCTAGAACATTTTGGGAAGTGGGATTCCCCTTCAGACTRACCATACCACTAGCAGATTATTTTACTATGACAGAAAATGGYAGAGATTGTGATTGGTTTATTTTTATATATGACAAATATGTGGAATTACAAAGGTGTTGGTGCCTGGAGAGATTTAAGAGAGAAGCAAGTTTCAGTAATGCTGCTGCTTCTTCCTTCTCAGAACTGGAGCTTCCCTTTCCCCCAGTCTGAGAAGGTAACTGTGGAGAGTTAACTGCTTAGTCAGTATTTAGAGACACCACTGACTATAGTRTTTTTTCTCTGAAGCGGTGACACAGCATCTGGCTCTTAGACATATGAAAGTCAGAGTGAAAGGGATAGGCCCAGCGTTTCTCTCCGTTTCAGCTTTGTTTACAGGCAGTTCACTTCCACACCCACTGGGCAGGCCAGAAGCTGTGCATGGTCAAGCCTTAATAACTGGAATAAACTGCAGATATAGCAAGCTTAAAAAGCGTGAGGCCAAGCATTTTCCCAAATGTGAGAGACAGATACATTTCTGTAACTCAGTAGTATATGGAGTCTTTTCCTGCTTATGCTCTAAAATTTTTGGAGAAGATGTGTTTCTATTGCTGTTTGAAACAAAATTGCATTGTGAGGTGTGCATATTTTGACGATTGGCTATTAATTAGAGCCTGGAGCATTTTAATACGAAAATATTTTAGTTTTATTGTGTATTAGACCATGGTCCCAATCTTTTACATGTCTCCTTACATGGGATTAGTAGATGTCAATGACAATATTTAGGCTGGTGTTAGGGAGGAAGGATGCCTTGGCTGGGACTGAAGATGAACTGGGTCCTGCAGGACCGGTCATCACATGGAAGCAGCAGCAGGGGATAAAAGAGTTGCTGGAATAACATGCTGTGTGTAGCTGTTACCACTGGGTAGCAGATGCATACTAAAGCTAAGGATTTCATCAGTATGTTTTCCTTACAGTTTTTTAGCATACGGTCTTTATTTGACATACTATATTCCTGTGACTCCCTATTTTATTAACTCAGTGAAACTACCTGRCTCCTGTCTTTGTGTAAAGTGTCAGGAACAATAGCTTTAACTTTCACCTTAGTGAAATGAGGTGCAGGGCTGAAGTGGGTTGATAATGCTTAGTGCTTACATATAACAACTCCCTTTCGAAAACAAGTTAGTTAWTTCTCAGAACATTACTACAAGTTAGGGTGCTCTCTCCCTTTTATGAAAAGTGGAGAAATTAWGTGTACAAGTTTAATGACTTGCCTGTGTGGGAAAGGAGTTCCAGAGCAGTGTGTCATAAATTATTTCCAATCTCAAAAAGAGCACATTTTGAAAAACAAATTTGAGGAGTGGATGCAGAACCACATGGAGTGCACTGTCTGCTAGAACTTGATGTGGAATACTTTTGACACACTRAGGCATTTTAAAATTTACACCATTTATTGACTCTTTTTGTCTGTCAAGTGAAGTAACCCTGTTTCTCTTTTTACTTGATGCTGCTGTTTCTCTCTATTCTGTTAGTTTTTAATTCTATTATGTTTATGTTCCTACACATACATCTCTGCTGACTGGACTGTACAATCTCTCATTTAAGTTACATCTGGAGCACTGACTGCTGTCATGGGAACAAGATTTTACAACTCCAGAAAATTCATGCCTGCAGGACTAATTGCTGGTGTCAGGTAAAGTACAGTATACGTTTTTTACCTCCTGTGTGCAATTTCTTATTTGCTTAATTAAATGGAGATGTAGTGAATTATATTTTGTGTATCATTTTTTGTTCCCATGAGCCACTTACAAAAAGTATTTGAAAATGAATTGATAAATTGTTGTTATTATGTTTAATTATGTGKTTTTTYCCCTTAAACAGTTTGCTAATGGTTGGAAGATTAGCACTGAAATTGTTGGAAAAGCCCCACGAAAAGTAACTGKTCATTTTACATCTTAATATTTGGAAAAGGACACCTGGTAATGAAGTTGAATGAATGCAGAAGCGAAAAGTTGGAAGAATTTTGTGTATCAAGACACTTTTTTCCCTTTTTTATGTGAGGGAGTATTTTATAGTTTAGATAGTTTATATACAAGGTACCATTTGTTCCAAGATTAGGTAGAGCCATTTGTGGATAGAAATAGGTCCTGAGTTTCGTTTTTCTGGACATGTTTCAATGTATTTTAACACTTCCAGTTTTTATATTCCACAATATTCTGCTGACATGTATGAAGCAGAGAGAACCTGCAATTAAGAAAAGAAAATATCCTCAAAGAAGCATCAGGAGTAACTGGCTAACTGCAACAGTGTATCTCAAACCTTTTATACTGATTATTACAGTGTGCTTTACCTGTTGCATTCTGAATTAATATACCATGTCTTTATAATGTCACACAGATACTGCCTTTTTATTGTGAAGTGTTGTTAAAATGATGCTTTTCTATAAGTAAAATCTGTTACAAACCTTTATTTGGTGTGGGTTTTTGTATTATTTCTGTGTTTGGGGACAGGGGTATTTTTTTCACCTTGTTTTCTCAGTGGCGGTCTTTGCAGTGGACTGTTAGTATCCAAGTGCTGTCTTTCAATGATAATTAAAAATTACTTTATAAATGGAGGGACTGAAGATTAGATCAGGGGCCTTCATTAACACTGCATTAAAACATTTGGTTGAAAGGAACATACTACCCTGTGGATTAATTAAGCGAGATTTGTGCTAGGCTCAAGGAACAGTTGAATTTTATCTAGACTATATAACTGTCTTGATAAAAACCACTTACACTATGTAATTCTGATCTTACAGCCTTATTGGACAATAGAATGTATCAGCATTTTATTTTTATCTCTGAGGAGAGTGRCTGTGCCTCTTCAAATCTGTCTTTACTGGGAAACCCTGGTGGCAGGAGGGTTCCTTGYTCTGCTGTGATACCTGAGGACTGAAGTGTGGAAGAGGCATCAGGTGGTATCTGGTGCTTTTGTTATCATTCCAACCTTGATTGCTTCTCCTGCACTGAGTCTTGCAGCTCTGTTRGTGAAGGTACAGCTAACATGGGCTTAGCACTGTGACGGGAGAGGCAAGAAATGTGTGAAAGAAAATCCTTCTTCAGCTTACTCTTTAGTGATACATGATTATTGATAAATTAGTATTCTTACAGTGTGTCACTTWMAAAYAAAGTGRTATTTTTTGTAGTGGCTATTTAGGRTTTTACTTTGGGACCTTCATACTACTGATTACATCAGACCCTTGTCAATTGCTTAACATGATTATGGCAAAGCAGGTTTAAATTAACATTAACTKACACATTTTYCRTTTTGTAGTATTTAAAGGAATTTGTAAAAACTGTCTAAAACCRCATAAAGCAAATACCAAATTAAAYAATTGCTCCATTTTTTTGGTCACTTCAATGCTTGTATTTCCTTTTCTGAAAATGGCATTTAGTAGTATTGAGTCAGAGGGACATACCTATTGTTGTGAATCAATGGTCACCCATATGGTAGTAGACTGGACACTGTTGTAGTAGAAAGTAGTAATTACAAGCAGATCTATAGATATTGAGTCAATTGTGCTGTGTGTTACGAATTCTCTTAGCAAAAGTTACAAAATTAATTCCAGGTTTTTRAACATATTTCATATGTAACCTCTCTTGTTTCCAGGCACTTAGTCTGTAAATAACCTGATCTGTACAGGATAAATCTGCAGGGAACAACACTAAAAGCATGTTAAGCATGTCTKAAATTCCAGTTTCAGCTAAATCATGGTCTCTTTTGACCATACTGTAAGCGAAATCTAACAGAAGTTTTGTAATTACCTTTTCATATTTTTAAATCACCCCTTGTAATTGAATAGTAATTTCCATCACTGAGACAGAATTTTCTGGAGACATTCAAGAATTAAAGACATGAATATCCTTTCTCCAGACTGCCCCTGCTGTTAGCAGGTCTGATTGTTAGCAAAGGTTAGAATTTAGCTAATTCTAAAAGATTTTTTCTGGGGGTTTTTGCACTGAGAGTGGTTCTATGTAAATTGACGTGATTACTTTTACATTAAATCCACTGTGGCTATGCCACGACTTGAGTGGAACTTCATGTTATGACTCAGCTTTATGGATTTTGGAAAGAGTGATTTTGTTATTTTTGGGAAATGAACTACTAAAATAACTCTTAAATTAAGGCTGCTTTGTTCAAAGCACGCTCTGAAAACAAAAACATTAGTTTAATATTTCTTGCAGTTTCAGCTGTCAGCACAAGCTGAAATGAGAATTGATTTTTTAAAAAGGTCCAGAAACAGGAAATTAGTTTTACTATGCACATACTGAGTCACCAGAATTC